TCATTCTGTGAAGAGACTAAAGCAGTTTTAAAGTGTATGCCGTACATCTAACGATAGGCAAGAAGTTTAATCTTACCTACATTTAAGAGAGTTGTTAAGGCAAGCAGAGATTAATTAAAACAGCAGACATTTGATGAAGTGAATGTCATACGTGCTGTTGTTCCACTTCCATTGAGTCAAGAGCTTCTTATATTGAAAACATAGAAGTATATTATGTGAGGAGATACGTCATGTGGAAAATTATCTTAAGCAGTTAGGAAATCGGCGCCTCATTAATTAGTTTTCTTTTATAGTTGGTGTTACCCGGGGGGTTAAATGAGCGAATCCTTTCTTCTGTTTTGATGGGTTCATCTTACCTGCTCAGGATTGCCTGCTTCAATCCCGCGCAAGAAATGAAATTACTTCGTAAAAACTCCTCTTGGGAGTTTGTGCAGCTGTACTTTAGTTTCTCCTGATATTTGTGACATTGAACTATCATCATTGTAAACCAATCAAATTAACCTGTTTTCAAATTTGTTAGATAAGAAAAGTATTTCAGTAAATACGAGAGTCAGTGTTCTTTGCACTAGTTGAAGTAATGTCTGAAAAAATAAAACTCAGTTCTATACGGACCTATTTATTTTTAGATGTAGAAAGCTACAACTTGTGATCAAATCTTCATTCGACTGATTCAAATGTGACAATTGGGCTGAGAAAATCTCAAATTATAAAATTGACAAATTTCGTTACATTTTTGAGAATGAACTTTGCCAGTCGTAGGTCACAACAGGATTTCAAAGATCCAACCGTTAGCCGTAAAACGGATAAAAAATGAGCCGTTTAGCGTAAAAATTGACGAATTATAACCTTTAGACGTAAAAAGAATTTAACCATAAAAATTTTTCCTTTTACCATAATGGAAAGATATTACCAGTTAGCCGTCTAATGACGACAACTTTAACTACTGAGAACCTCTCATGATCTGACAAGTGTTTGAGAGTGCACAGGAAGGCGTGGGATAAATGCAAGGGGCGGCATCTCACGATTATCAGAAACAAACAATACCTCATGAACAAAATAAAGCTGTCAACTCGTCTAATGACGACAACTTTAACTACTGAGAACCTCTCATGATCTGACAAGTGTTTGAGAGTGCACAGGAAGGCGTGGGATAAATGCAAGGGGCGGCATCTCACGATTATCAGAAACAAACAATACCTCATGAACAAAATAAAGCTGTCAACTCGTCTAATGACGACAACTTTAACTACTGAGAACCTCTCATGATCTGACAAGTGTTTGAGAGTGCACAGGAAGGCGTGGGATAAATGCAAGGGGCGGCATCTCACGATTATCAGAAACAAACAATACCTCATGAACAAAATAAAGCAGTCAAAACGTGTGCCGTACATCTAACGATATGCAAGTAATTTACTCTAACCTAGAGTTAAAAGAGTTGGTAAGGCGAGAAGAGATATAAAAGAGAGACGTTTGATGAAATGAATGTTATACCTGCTATCTTTAGTTTATCGTTAAGTCGAGAGCTCTTCAAAGTATTAAAGAAGCAGTAAATCAAGTAGAAAGAGATACTTAATGTAGATAATTGTCCTTTTAATTGCGACCTTTCCTGCTATGCGGCACTTTTGATACCCGTTTGAGATTTCACAGGAAGGCATGGGATAAATGCAAGAAATGAATGGGATAAATACATGGGATAAATGCATGGGATAAATGCAAGAAGCGGCATCCCATGATGTTCATAAGCATACCAATACCTAATGAACAGACCAAAGCAGTCCAAAGTGTGTGCCGTACATCTAACGATATGCGAGAAATCTAATCTAATATATATTTAAAAGAGTTGTTCAGGCGAGAAGAGATTTTAACGGGACACACTGATTTGATGAAGTGAATATCAAACGTTCTGTCGTTCCATTACTATGATCTTAAGAGCTTTTTACAGTGAAAACACAGCAGTTTATTGTGTGGGGTGATACTTCATGTGGAAAATTACGTACCTTAAGACGTTGGAAAATCAGTGCGTTATTGATTTATTTTGTTGTATGGCTGATATTATTCGAGGGTGAGATGAAGCGAATCCTGTGAGCTGTTCTAATAGGACTACTTGCCCGCTCGGGATTGCCTGCTAAAATTTTCAGATGAGAAACCTCACCTGTCGTAAAACGGCAAATAAAAAAAAAAAGCCGTTAAGCGTAAAAACTGACGAATTTTAACCGTTGGTGGTAAAAAAAAGGTAACCATAAAAATTTCTGCCTTGACCAAAATAGAAAGATAGTAACCAGTTAGCCATGAAATGACCACAGCTTTAACTGTGATGAGAACCTTTTGTAATCTGACAAGTTTAAGAGTTCAATGATTGCAAATGGCGGCATAAGGCCTGGGGTAATCGAAAGGGGGGTGGCACCTCATGATTATTAGATACATAACGTCACCCTATGAACAGACAAAAGCAGTTCAGAGTCTGTGCCGTACATCTAACGATATGCAAGAAACTTACTCTTACCTACATTTAACAGATTTGTTAAGGCAAGCCGAGATTTTAAATAACGGGAGACATTTCATGAAGTGAATATCATACGTGCCGTAGTTCCACTACCATTGTGTCAAGAGCTTTTTACATCGAAAATGAGATAAGTTCATTACTTAAGGAGGTACTTCATGTGGAAAATTATCTTAGGCCGTTAGGAAATCGGCGCCTCGTGAATTAATTTTCTTGTATAGTTGGTATTGCCCGGGGGTTAAATGAAGCGAATCCTTTGCTCTGTTTCAATGGGCTCATCTTGCTCGTTGATCCTGTGCAAGAAATAACATTAATTCGTAAAAATTCCTCTTGGGAGTTTGCGCAGCTGTCTATTAATTCATTCTAAGATTTGTGGCGTTGAATCATCACCATTTTTAACCGATCAAAGTGACTTTTTTTTTAAAATTGTCAGATGATTAAATAGGACCTCAAGCTTGGCCAATAACGCTTATGTCTTGTTATGCAGTAAATGGTTTGAACCCGGGGGTAACATGTGAAGGTGTAGTCTGATCGTCCGGGTGAGTGTAGTCCTGAGAAGGACTGTTGTCGGTGGCAGTGACTGACGTTTCGACAACCTGTGCGGAAGTCATCATCAGAGTCAAGTGACTTCCGCACAGGTTGTCGAAACGTCAGTCACTGCCACCGACAACAGTCCTTCTCAGGACTACACTCACCCGGACGATCAGACTACACCTTCATATGTCTTGTTACTTGCTTCGTTTCGTGCCCAGCGGCACGTTTGATACTAGCACTTTACAATAGTCAAAATAAAACCCAAAAAGGACTTTATTTGTTGTGGAGGATGATGAGTTATTACGTTTACCTCTCATGAGAAATCGAGTGCCACACCCTCGGATTCCGCAGCGCGATGAGTTCCTCTGGGTCGGGTTGTTTCAAGCTAGTTTAAGAAAAACCAGGGTTAGTGTGAAATTTGATTTCACATCGAAAATCTTTAAAAGAAAATTCACTTTTATTATTGTTGCTTACAATTTGACAATTAAATGCTTCAAAAAGAGTAAAGAAAATTACCCAAAAAGGCTTTTGAACAGAGAAATAAAGAACCCTAGGTTAAACTTTAACCCTGGGTTAGCGCTAAGCGGCTTTTGAATAACTTTTTGAAAACTATAATGTAAGCTTAGCCGCCAGCAGGTTTAGATTTCACACGCGGGGTCGTCCATTCGTGCACTCATTCGAACGTGACAAGTCCTTTTTTTTTAATAAGAGAAAAGGAAATCATTTATTTAAGGACATACTCAGGGGAGAAAGTGCTTAAAAGCAAGGAAAGCGGCGTCCTTGAAATCATTTATTCCATTTCGTCCCATCAGCTTCGTTCCCGAGGCATGTTTGGTAGAGTGGTTTTAGTGGGAGAAAAATTTACGAATTGCAAATCTGTCTATTTTTTTTTTTATTTTCTTTTTGGATGTAGAAACTTAAAAGGTTGTGATCAAATCTTGATTTGAAGGATTCATGCATGTATGTGAGTAAGACCGTGTCGTCACGGTGATAACCTCAATCGTAAGGCTCCACCCAACAATTCGGAGTAGTAGTGTATCGTGTCCTGATACACTATCAAAAAAATTACTTGCATGAAAAGTTATGGATTACAATGCATTTTTGTCACCAAAAACTGAATTTAAAACTATCTTTCATGAGATCATAAAGCAAATAACAAGGAGATCATAAAATTAAAACAATAGAGAAGTCCAAGGAACAAATCGAATGTCGTGCACGCACTCAACTGTATTTTGTAAACAAAATACTTAAAAATCCACGATCAATACACAGAAGCATTGTGTTTTCTTCCTGTGTAGGACATGATACAATTTCCATCATATGAAGTCAACCATGGAATGATTAGATACTAAAGATGTTAATTAGTATTGTTTGGTAGTTATAAAAACATCAGAGAATTGTGGCGTTCTCCATATCACGGTTGGTTTTCACAAGATCCAGGATTGCAAAGTATAGAATTTCTCTGAAGGTAACTACCAATAGTTTGACCTTACAAGATATTTCCTCAGTTCCATACATCGGGTTATTTAAGTTCACTGTAGTTTGTTTGAAATTTTAAGGCGGGTCTAATCTATTTCATTGACATTTCATCCTTTTTTTCCAATCTTTCCTTGCCATTATCATCTCATAGTTCTTAGTCGTAGTGGGTCATGAACGCAATTTAGGATCGATTCCGTGTTTAAAGTAGCGGATTATATTTTACGCGGTAATTTTGCCGCTGTCTCCCCAGTTCGGTGGAAATTATCCCGGGTTTTCCCTTGAGGATGCTACAGGTACACGATTTGTATCTAGTTTTAGAACGCAGGGCATCATGAAAGGGATGTCCCTCTCATGAGAAAAATTCAAAAACATATGGTCACCCAGTCTTGCAAAGTACAGTGGCCGTGACTCCTGTGGCAATAAAGTTTAATTCTACAGAGAAACAGGCATTCATTTATTAACACTGATTTTTTGTAAAAAGCAGATTATGGAGTGCTTTGTTGTGTTTCTGATGACTCTGGCGGCGGTGACGTCATTTCCTCTGAAAAATGAAGAGGACTCACCTTTGAAAATAAAGGTAACGCAATGCAAGAGCTTCGTGTATCATGTTCGGAGCGTTAACAATACTTTTTTCCGGCACTTTTAAAGTAATCTTCAATTGAGTCTTGTCAGTTAATAAGATTGTTAATAGGTGTTCATTTGTTACGCTCTCTTATGGATAAAAACAACTAGCCCTTTCATTTTGGTTTTGTTTTTAATCAGAGCGTTGGGTTTTTTTTAATTAAGTACAACTCAAACTCACGCACTAAATCGAAAAGAGCTCTATCACGCTAAGGACCATTTGGTCCTCCCTCAAAAACCTTCGTTACAAGCCTTGCTCTGTTTTGATTGCTCTTAAATCATATTAATAAATTATTATCCCTTTTTTAAGATTTTGCGCCCACCACTACTATATGGAAGATCGATGAAAGGTAAGTGCATTTTTTAAATCTTTTTTTACTGCTTTCCGCAGTGTCACAGTACAGATTTTTCATGTTTAACCAAGGATAAACTCCCTAACTCTCGTAAAGTTTAACCACATGTACAGTTTTTCATGAATTTTTTATGGATTTAGTGAGTCTATTAATGAATCTGAAATAGATAACTTTGCAGAAGCACATGTAGGTTGGATACATATACAAGCCCCGAAATTTATACATAACTTGCGAAGGCCAGAATAACAAACTATTACCCATCTTTTCTCTTTAATCACGTCAATGATTTTTTTTTCTGTTAGATTTTTCAGGGCAATGCTATGTAATTCAAAGAAAGTCCTCAATTTTCTTAGAAAATTTAAAAACATCTCAGCTATTGATTTCAGATCATGATAATTACTTTTGTAGAGCCACATCTGAACGACCCCGCTCCATTTGGCAACTGGGGTGTCAACGTTGGTTGGCGAAATGGTGGGGTCAAAGTCGGTGGAGGGCCTAACAACAACGGTGGACATGGGGTGGGTGTCAACGTTGGTTGGCTGAATAGGGGTGTCGATGTCGGTGCAGGGCATAACAACAATGGTGGACATGGAGTGGGTGTCAACGTTGGTTTGCCGAATGGAGGCTTTAATTTTGGATTCGGAAAAAGAAATACTGGTAAGTCTATCCAGTGATCTATAATTATATTGGTATCTCTCTGTCGTTGTGTTGTTATTGTTGTTCAACATACACAAGTACATAAGTTTTTGCATCCCCACAATGCAGACTTTTCCCTGCGACTCTCTTACATGTATGATGATATAGCCTCTGAATTTTTGTTTTTGGCACGAACGATCCGGCCACCAGTCCCTCGTCCCACACTACCCTCCCCCCCTACTTGCTTATCAATCCATCCATCCATCCATTCACTCATGTTCTCAACCATCCATCGATCCACCCATCCACTTGTCTTGATTTCAGATGAGTTTTTTGTAGTTTTTGGACAGAAATCTGCTTCTACAGAATAACTTTAATTTACAACTCTTTCTTCTCCGGCCTGGCTCAGAAGATTGTGAATTTACCAGTTCTTTTTTGACTGATACATTTTCAGAACTGATTTGAGCTTTGGAAAGATCGACGTGATTTCTGTTGCCACTGTTACAAGAAAGGGGCGTGATCATTGCAATGGTTTCTCGAGTTTGATTAGTAGCTTTCATCATATGGTTGCGTTGTTCTCGCATTTCATTAGTTACAATACATTTGTCATTTTCTCTTGTATTACATCAATGATCCTTTGCTGCAGTAAGATTTACCTGTGCAGTGCTATTTAATTCAAATCAGCTTTTCGATCTTCCAAGAAAATTTCAAAAAGTTACAACTGTTCATTTCAGATGATATTAATTCCTTTGCAGAACCAGTTCTGAATGATCCCGCTGAACAAAGCAAAAGGGGTTTTTATACTGTTGGCGGTTATGGAAATCATGGCCCCATTAGCGGAACTATTGGTGGAACTATTGGTTCTCAAGGTGGAGGATATCCTAATTACGGGAAGAGGAAGATTGGTAGGTCTATTAATTGATCTATCCTTTTTTGTGCAATCTCTTTGTTCTTATAGCTGTCGCTGATGTTGTTTTCTGTACACAACCAGGAATCAATACAATTCAGACTTTTCCCTGCTCTTATACGTCATTTATGAAGTACTAAGATTTGCCTGTGCAATGCTATTTGATTCAAATCAGCTTTTCGATCTTCCAAGAAAATTTCAAAAAGTTACAACTGTTCATTTCAGATGATATTAATTCCTTTGCAGAACCAGTTCTGAATGATCCCGCTGAACAAAGCAAAAGGGGTTTTTATACTGTTGGCGGTTATGGAAATCATGGCCCCATTAGCGGAACTATTGGTGGAACTATTGGTTCTCAAGGTGGAGGATATCCTAATTACGGGAAGAGGAAGATTGGTAGGTCTATTAATTGATCTATCCTTTTTTGTGCAATCTCTTTGTTCTTATAGCTGTCGCTGATGTTGTTTTCTGTACACAACCAGGAATCAATACAATTCAGACTTTTCCCTGCTCTTATACGTCATTTATGAAGTACTAAGATTTGCCTGTGCAATGCTATTTGATTCAAATCAGCTTTTCGATCTTCCAAGAAAATTTCAAAAAGTTACAACTGTTCATTTCAGATGATATTAATTCCTTTGCAGAACCAGTTCTGAATGATCCCGCTGAACAAAGCAAAAGGGGTTTTTATACTGTTGGCGGTTATGGAAATCATGGCCCCATTAGCGGAACTATTGGTGGAACTATTGGTTCTCAAGGTGGAGGATATCCTAATTACGGGAAGAGGAAGATTGGTAGGTCTATTAATTGATCTATCCTTTTTTGTGCAATCTCTTTGTTCTTATAGCTGTCGCTGATGTTGTTTTCTGTACACAACCAGGAATCAATACAATTCAGACTTTTCCCTGCTCTTATACGTCATTTATGAAGTACTAAGATTTGCCTGTGCAATGCTATTTGATTCAAATCAGCTTTTCGATCTTCCAAGAAAATTTCAAAAAGTTACAACTGTTCATTTCAGATGATATTAATTCCTTTGCAGAACCAGTTCTGAATGATCCCGCTGAACAAAGCAAAAGGGGTTTTTATACTGTTGGCGGTTATGGAAATCATGGCCCCATTAGCGGAACTATTGGTGGAACTATTGGTTCTCAAGGTGGAGGATATCCTAATTACGGGAAGAGGAAGATTGGTAGGTCTATTAATTGATCTATCCTTTTTTGTGCAATCTCTTTGTTCTTATAGCTGTCGCTGATGTTGTTTTCTGTACACAACCAGGAATCAATACAATTCAGACTTTTCCCTGCTCTTATACGTCATTTATGAAGTACTAAGATTTGCCTGTGCAATGCTATTTGATTCAAATCAGCTTTTCGATCTTCCAAGAAAATTTCAACAAGTGACAACTATTGATTTCGGATGATGTTAATTCCTTCGCAGAACCAGCTCTGAACGATCCCGCTGAACAAAGCAAAAGGGGTTTTTATACTGTTGGCGGTTATGGAAATCATGGCCAATGGGGTAATACTCATGGAACCGTTGGTTCCCATGGTGGAGGATATTATTACGGGAAAAGGAAGATTTGTAGGTCTACTAATTGATCTATCCTTTTTGATGCTATCTCTTTGTTGGTAGAGTTGTCGTTGATGTTGTTTTCTGTACACAACCAGGACTCAATACGATTCAGACTCTTCTCTGCTCCTATACGTCATGTATGATATAGCCTCTAGATTTTTGTATGACATGAACAATCCAGCCACCTACTCCATCCCCCTCTCCCACTTGCTCTTCCATCCATCCATACATCTACTGATTCATCCATAGATGCACCCACCCACTAGTCTTGTAATATTCTGAGAATATCTTACACCTCTTTATGTAATCAGAGGAACTGATAATTTGTAAAGGGCATTGGCTGCTTATTTTTATCTTTTTATATTATTATTTGTTTTTTGGTATTTGAGATCTTTAAAGAAAACTACAATTTTCTTTTCCATTTCGATTTCTTACTTTGGTGAATTCTCTTATATTTCAGACCCAAATGTGAACGACTTTGGAGAGAGACCCCAATGATTGGTCAAGACCCCAATGATGTGGGAAAAAAGGAATGAGACCTGTCTTAACTAGTTAAGCTCCAGCATGGAACACAGCATTTAGACCCGACTTTGTATCAGTAGTTGATCTTTGTAACGATTCAGTAATTGCAAAGAACGCAAATAAAGGTTTGAAATGGAGCGAAGTTCAGTGTTTACATTCAGTGCTATTTTGGGAGGGCCTAAATGTACTTTGTATCGAGAGGAAAGGAAGAAAAAGTTAGAGATAAAAGTTCTCAAACTAATATATAATAGCAAATTTTTTCTCCATAGATCTCCGATAGTTACTTGCAGATACTTATGAGTCTATGCATGCTTTGAGCTTTGTACATAGTGACGCCCCCCATCAAAACCGTCTTAAACCGATGCAGATTGTTTTTCCACCAGAATCTAAAGGCGATAATAAAGGGACTTCATCTGACACATCTTCTCCACACGACATGATCAGCAACTATGAACTAGTCAATTTAATTTTTTTAAAAAATGATAATTTACAATTTTGGTGGGGTGATATGTATTCCGTTTCTAAGCTCTCTCGAGAACCCACATCCATCTGGTAAACATCTTTATGCGTATAGTGGACGACGAACCCGTATTGCCTATCCAATGAAACCCCATTTGAAGTTCTTTCTTTTGGCTCATTTTGTTGAATTATTATTTAGTCATAATTTTTTTTTCCATTTTGATTTTATTTTGAGATGAGGGAGAGAAAGAAATTTGGGTCCTGGTAGAGCCACTTTTAGCCAAAATTTCAATAAAGGAAAATTGAACTAGAACTAAAACATTTTTTAGCTAAAGATAACTATCATGAAATGGACGAATCATCCAACGACAGTCTTTTCTTGGGCCGAGCAGGGAAAGCGTTCGCTTGACACCTGCCTTGTCAAAAGAGAACGGAAAAAAAGCAACACAAACTGAGCTATAAAGTGGACCTTCAGTAGGAAAATCATCTGAGGAAATGAGGCGACTAACAGCGAATTTTAATTGTCGCTTTGTTAGACAAACTCGTTTGATTTTCGGCTTAGGATCAACATGGATGAAGAATTGGCATGAAGAGAACTCGACTTGTAAATTTGGCCATGAAATTTGAGGTAAATTTTCCAGATTGAAAGCCTTGACCGTCGCACATCATAATCAGTCAAGTTTGAGAGTGTGCAGGAAAGCGTTGGATAAATGCAATCTCTTGATCATTCGAAACAAAAATACCTTAGAAACGAACTGAAGTAGCCCGAAGCTTGTGCTATATATTTACCGCGGCGATATGCAAGAAATTAAAAACTAACCAACATTTAAAAGAGATGGTAAGACTAGAAGTGATACAAACGAGAGACGTTTAATGAAATGAGTTTCATACCTGCCATCTTTACTCTATGATTGAATCGAGAGCTCTTTAAAGTAAAAGCGAAGCAGTAGATCATGTAGAAAGAGATAACTCATGCTGATAATTGTCTTTTCAACTGCGTCGTTTCCTGCTATGCGGCCCTTTTGATATCTGTACCTTACAGGAGCAAAAATTAAAAAGTGTACATTTTGACTGGGTGGGAGGGCCAGAGGGAAAAATATTTGGCTCGAGGTTATGCATGACGTAAGGACCAAGCGCAGCGCGAGGATACTGCAATCGTTGCAGGAGTAGATGAGTGAAAATCTTTTGTTGTGCTATATTATCACATCTTTTAATGTTTACTTGAACGACTATTCACCTGAGTATGGGTGGCTAGCGGTGTTGACGTGATACGGCTTGCCCTTTCATGTAAAATGGCGTAACATTTCACGTAAAATGGCGTGAACCTTATTGCTTTAGCTATGCGTGAGCTCACGTCACTTCGAGTTTCAATGAAGCCGTCTCATAAGTTAATATGAGCAGCTGGCAAATAATGCGGCATTTGAAGGATTTTAAACGTGGCATTTCATCTGCTTCTGTATGACCTACAGGAAATAGTTTTGGTGCATTTTTTCCGCCAACTATTTTCTACTCTATGAGGGACAAAGGGAAGAAAATACACAGCGAAAGCGGGACAGATTACTTTCGCGTAGAAATGCCAAAGCTCAGGCTTAACCTGCAAACGTGACAAAATGGCAGGGAAATCGCGGTCATGTGGTCACTCTTGTCGTTCACGTTTCACGTAAACGCGATACTAAATCACTAAAACCTCGCTTCACGGCTCTGTGAATATCCACCACGAGCCATATGTTCTACCTTGGTACTCCTCACCGACATAGCGCTACAGTTTCTTTGGAATATTACCCACTTTATTTGAAGATCAACGTGGCTTGTCACGAGAGTGGGACAAAGAAAAAAGGAGTTTCCAAAAAATTGAGCCACACGCCTTCGGATTCCACATTGCGATGTTTTACCGCCGGGAGCCAATATGTGTGCTTCAATAAGCTTAAAAAATTACAATCAGCCGCAGCAAAATTAGGTTACTAGAGTAGTTTACATACATTCTTTATCGAGTGAAGCGGAGTCACTTAATACACTGAAGTGAGACTATTTAAACTTATACAGCATTTTTCAAGCTTCACCCGACAATTAGGGGTTCTAATGTACCGTTTAAAAAACTACAGCAGAGCTAACTGATGAGGTCGTGGTACAAACTAATGCCCAAAACTAAACATAAAACTACTTACAAGGGGAAAAGATAATTATAATCTACACGGGATGTCATATTAACAAACAAGCTATATGAATGAATCGAAAGCCGCAAGCACTCAACTGTGGCAAAAATACTATGAATCCACGTTTAACATTTACAGCCTTTGTGATGTTTCCTTCCTGCGTGACATGATAAAATTTCCATCATGTGAGGTAAAACCATAAAGTTATAAGGGAGGATTCCAGTCGTTTCGTACCCTCATTGGTATCGTGCTCATTCAGTTCGTACCCACACAGTCAAACCTCGATTATCTAAATTTTTCAATTTTCCTGACTTGCTTCTCTGCTTCCATTTCAATTTTTTGCGATTATCAATCCGTCCCATTCAAGATCCGTAACAACTGTTTTTTCCATCAAACAAAGCATATGTAATGAATAAAGGCTGATAGTTTCTAAAGAAACTGTTTGGGGCTGCGTCGGTGAGGGTAACGAAATAGTTTGGATATATCAACAAAGTTGAATGGTACATTGGCCACCGTAACGATTACAAAAGCTGACGTTTCGAGCGTTAGCCCTTCGTCGAAGCGAATAGAGGAATTGTGGGTTTTGTGTGCTTTTAAAGGCAGAAAATGGAGCTACGTTATTGGTGGGAACATGGCAACGAGAAAAACACGAATAAATTAGTGGAATGAAAAGCGTTCGTTGATCCATATGGGATTTAGACTGCCGGTTTGAAAGATGAGCTTTTGTTCAAGAGTTTTACGGCTTTCTGTGCTACCTAAGTGTAGGGAAGGAACGCAGATTGCCAGATGTTGCTTAGAATGATTGGGTAAATTAAAATGTCTAGCGACTGGTTTCGATATGTAATGAAATCGAGCTAACCGCCTCCCGGTTAGCTCAATTGGTTAGAGCTCTGGACTGTTGTGCGGGAGGTCGAGGTCGATGGTTTGAGACCTGGCCGGACCAACACTCAAGGTCTTAAAATAACTGAGGAGAATGCGCTTCCTTTCTATAATATCAACAAATGGATAGACATTCTAGTCTTCTCGGATAAGGACGAATAAACCGTAGGTCCCGTCTGCTGCATCTATAAATTAAATCATTTGGTTGGGCAGGGGACGTTAAAGAACCCACTCACGAGATTACTGTGATGTGGTCTGGTCTGTTTACCGGGAATTGCGGGGAGGGGGCATCTTCATATAAGTTTCCGTTCGTAAACTGCTGATGCAGTCCGGCCAAAGTCCCCGATCATTTGATCACATCCACATGTTAATTTGCGCAATATAAATATTAAATTATCATTCTATTATTAAATTATTAATCTCGTTGGACCTGAATTTCTTTCGTTTTCCGAAGTTGTCGAATGTTTTAGGAAGTGTTTGACATTAACGGAAACAAAAAAAAAAGGCTTGTCGATATTTCACTGACGCAGCTTCAAAGAAAGATAGACTCAATAAGTACTGATAAATTGTGCTTTCCATGTTAAGTATCAGTTTCTAAGTGAAGTAAAGTTTCTTGGGTTAAATAGCAATATGATTAGTTATGTTGAGGTGGCGTTAATTAATCTAACCATCGATATTTGTTATCACGCTTTAGATAATTCGTTTTCATTGAATGTTCTGGAAGGGTGTGAATCGACCGGCGGGCGAGTGATACGACTCGACATAAACTAAACAAACGAGAAAACAAAAAACAAAACAAAACCAAAAGGTTCGCATGGTCTGAGACGAAACCTCCTTTGATATAAAACTATTTAGAACATAGGTAGCAGAGTCGCGCAATCAAATTCATTATACGTAAGCGTGCTCAAAATCCCGATAGTGCACGCTGATAGCGTCAGCAAATCCGAATAATGGATACAAACAGAAACTCGGCCTACTAGTCCGAAAACGAAGACAATGTTTCGACCTTTTCCCTTGGGCTAGAGTTCTTAAATGAGGCAGAAAAAGATAAAAACAAAGGAAAAGGAGATTCGGCATCAGCGCCGTCACAATTCGCTTCAACTGATATTGTTGTCCGTTTTTCGCCACCGGCTATGTTCTAAAACAATTGATTCATGCTTTCAGCTGTGCACTATCGAGTTATGGAGCACGTGGGAAGTTTGGAGAGCACTCAAGAAGCTAGAGTTGCCATCGGCTATCGCCTCGGGCAACTCTTACGCTTCTTTCGTGCTCTCCAAACTTCCCGCGTGCTCCATAACTCGATAGTGCACGCTAAAGCATGAACCAATTGTTAATTAAACAAAAGAGTGTTTTTGTCGAGGAACTATCAGACCGATAGTTCCGAGACATAAACACTCTATTGTCTTTATTGTTCACCACTAAATTTTCTTCCGCGCGCCAGTTGAAAAACAGTTAAAAGCCACTAAATGCAGATCAATCAAATGTTTATTCATGCGTACAGCATGTCACAAATGTCAATAATTCGCAATCGTACATCGGCTCAATAATACGTTATACCTGTCAGAATTGAAAAGTCGCTGTTTTTCCGATCTGCCTAACTTTGCGGCCGTCAAACCATTCATTTTTAAAACAATTTCACAGATGAGTACTATCCATCCGGGTATTTTCCGCGGACTGGCACTATCCATCTGGGTATTTTCCGCGGACGAGCACTATGGGTTGATAGTGTCTCTCCACGGATGAACGCTATCTTGTCACGTGATCAATTTAAACCATTAAGAATCAGAGAAAATTTACTGGTAAACTATGATACATATTATTTTATGTTGTATCTATTCTTTTTTAAATTTTTTGAAGAAATTAACCAATTTTTTATAACTACCCTGAAATCGAGAGTAAACGTGCAAATATCTACGTCTGAATTTATGTTCGAATCGCTAAAGTACGAAACTTTAATAGGTAACGGAAGTTCCTTATTAAATAACATCATGCATTGACAATACTAATTAGTAGTGTTACAAAAAGATCAGATACGTGTGGAGCACCTTCCAGATCACTCTGTGCTCTGACGAGGCCTGATAACAGCGTTCAGAAGTCTTCTTAAGGTGTGGTAACTATTCGATCTGTTATTTCCTTGGTCCCATATCATAGGACTTAATTCACGAGTACGAGAATACCGTATGGGCCTGAGTTCTTTTTCAGGCCTCATTTTCACTACTGCTCAAGTAGCTAGTGTTCGTTACTGCAAAGATCGCTCTCATACTCGTTCTTTAACCGCAGTTCAAATATATAACTTTCATATATTTACAAATGAGGATCTAATTCAGTTCATGAAGAGATAATACCAAGCAAGATTAGGAAAGACGTCGAAATACATTGAGAGGAAAAGCTTGATCCATTTCCATAACATCCATTTTTTTACGTTTCCACTAACGTTTTATTGTTTCAGTTCTTAGCTGCAGTCGGACGTGAACAGAATTAAGGGCTAATTCCGTGTCTAAAGTTAGGGGCTTTTTTTAGCTTGGTGGTTGTTTAAAATCCAGAATTAAACTTTACCTGGCTTATTCGACACGACACGACTAAGAACGGTGTCGCTGCCCCCAGATAAGAAATCACTTTCCATAAAATCCATTTTTGTACGTTTTCATTACCGTTTTATTGTTTCAGTTCTTAGCTACAGTCGGACGTGAACAGAATTAAAGGCTAATTCCGTGTCTAAAGTTAGGGGGTTTTTTTAGCTTGGTGGTTGTTTAAAATCCAGAATTAAACTTTCCCTGGCTTATTCGACACGACACGACTAAGAACGGTGTCGCTGCCCCCAGATAAGAAGTCACTCATTTGGAAGTTATATCTGGCTGTTCTTTTAGGATTTGCTTCGAAGATGCTCAGGGGAATCTATTTGTGAGTGCGACGGGGTGTCTTAACCATGAGGAAGATTCGAGAAGAGATGATCACCCAGTCTCGGAAACTTTCTATAACGGTTGCAACTCCCATAGGAACTGAGTACCCAGTGACACAATTATTTATTCATCTGACTATTTTTAATCTTGTTTCTTCGAATTCAAGAAAACAGAAAATGAAGTGCTTTGTTTTGTTGCTGATTACTCTGGCAGTGGCAAATTTATTTCCCTTGGAAAATAGAGAAAACACCGCCCAAGAGACGGAGGTAAGGTATCAACAAACTTCGTGTGTTTCAGACTAGCTACCACGTTCGCAGCGTTAGCATGTTCTTCACATTTGAAGCAATTTTTCAATTTTCGGGAGTGTCTTGTTTTTTTTTTTTTTCGTTTCGTTTAAAAAAGTCTCCTACGGGTCCAGAAAATGCCATATTTTTTTTTCTTTGTTACTTTACCATATGACTTGAAACAAACTAAAAGTTATCACAGCTTCAGTGACGACTGGGTTGTCGAAAGTAATCACGGATTGCATCGATTCTGGCGAAGCGCTAACTCTCGAGCCGACAGCTTTCGAAACTTTTTAAGGTGGCCACTTTACATTTTCAACTCAGTTGATAAAATAAATTTATCTTGTAACACCCCCCCGATGCGACACCACAGTTTCTTTAGAAACTTACTCTCTTCGTTCAAAGATTGTATTGGCTTTGCTTCACTACTCCCCAGATTTAGTCCAAGAAATTCGCGACAATCTGTCAACCGATCAAATGCTGAACTAAAACAAATCACGACTTGATCACTCCTTTTATACCCGCATTAAAAAGTTTATCTGTTTATCAGTCGGCCGTTATAATCGGCCTTCGTTTCATCCCAATCAATCGAAAAGTGCACTCTCAGTACCAGTGTTCTAATCGTTTGTTTTTTTCCTTTTTTGTAACATGATACTTAGTCAAAAGGCCTACACTAAAAGCCTGGCTAGCTATTAATTGATTTAAGATGGTCATTATTCAACGTTATCATTATTATTTGAAGATCTTGGGGGCCCATGCACAAGATACTGGTGATCTTAGGATGCAACCCAAGATACCCATGATTGGTAAGTGCATTTAAAGGCCAATTTCCATCCGAGATCCTTTGCAGTCGTTTGTTTCTGTTTTGGAATCGCGCTATTGTTAAATGGCGAACTCTGATAGTCATTCACAAACTCTATTAAAAAGAAAAATAAATATTTGGTGAAGAACACAGTAAACAAATTTGCAGCTAAATATTTGAGACTGAAAAATCATAAATCGAGTCTGTGTATAAAACTTGTACAAAGCTTACCTGATGTTGAAGGAAATTGTTCGGCTTCAACACTAAATAAAATATAAACAAATAACCAATATTTGCCAAAGCTGATTTACTTTACGAATTTCAATTATAGAATAATGACTTGTACAAAAGAGATCGCTTACATACATATCTCAGGATCTCAAGTAAAATTCAGTCAAATAATTATTCTCACCTCGAAAAAATCTCCCCGGAGTCTCCAATTCCATCGTAGGAACAATGCAATAACAATTCTGCAAAAGCACTGTCTGTAGTGTTACCGAAACCCATGGTTGTTTTCCTTGCCCTCCATAAATCATACACAGACTCTCAAAGTCGAATAACCTTTGCCGAGCCGGGAAGACTCGGCCTTCCTCTAGACCGCTTCTTCGGCGGCATCAACTTTTCAAATGACCTTTTTCACCGTCATACATGTTAGAATTAAAAACTATTTACTGATATGGATACTACGCTAGTTTGTTGTTCGCACATGATTCAAGATGGAACTTTGAAATCCCTAATTAGTAAGATGGAAGAAGATATCAAAGCGATTCCGCAACTACGAGGAAAAAAGCGTATTTTTCATATTTGAAAAATGATCCGGGCGCGCAAAGCATCTCGGTTGGAAATGGGCCTTTAAAATTCTTTCAATGCTCTTTGAAAAATGTCACGAAACAATTTTTTGAGCTTGAACAACGATAAATTCCCTTACGCACATGTGGTTTAATCAGCCAACGTTTTTAAGTCTTCTGCATATATGGGAGAAATTAAATGGTCGAAACAATTAATGCAATTGCGATAACCTTACTTTGTGGAAGCACTGTACTAATGCGAGTTTGAGGAATGCTCCAAAATTTGTGCCTACCTCACGCAGGCCAGAAGAGAAAACTACCACACAATGAAAGCCAATCCATTCAGTTAAAATTTCCGAATTTCAGAAAAAATTTAAAAATAATGATAATTATTAATTTCTTATACAAATTATCTTTACAGGAACACCGCTGAACAATCCCGCTCAACAAAGTGGTTGGGATGGCAACGATGATTGGTCGCCTAGGGGTGTCAATATCAGTGAAAGAAACGAAAATGATAAAAGGTCTTGGTTTACCACCGCGGTGTTGGAAACCGCGGTGGTAAACCGAGTTTGAACCTTGACATCGATCATCAATTCGGTAAACGGGGTTGGGCCAACAACGCCGATGGTGATGACCTCAACGCGCGTAAGTCCATCAGCTGATCTATAATTTTGGTCGGCATCTTTCTGTCGACGTGATTTTTGCTGTTGCTGTTTTCCATAACAAAACCAAATAGGTTTTGCATCAATACCATGCAGCCTTTTCCTAATCAACTCTTATTCGAAGTAGAGACAGCCTCTGGAATTTTGCATGAGATGAACAATCCAACCACCGACCCTCCCGTCCTTCTCCACCCCTCCTTCCCCACCCCCTTTGTCTCTTTGCCCATCCATCCATACATCCATCCATCCACCCACCCTCCCTACCAGTCTACTAAAAGCTGGCGCCTTTTAAAATTAGGATTTTAGTAGATTAGACATCGTCTTGTAATTGAGTTCACCGATAACTAGCAAAGCTACATTACTTTTTTCTATTTTTCGGCAATTCAACTCTTTTAAGAAAGTAACACTTTTCAGGTCCACATCTCTTACGTTGTTGAATTCCTTATTTTTGAGTCCAAGATAAGAACTTCTTGGTAGAAAAAGATGGTATGTCAGGCAGAATGGTATGGGGAAATATGAAAGAAACGTGTATCAACTTAATTCTCTGTTCGTTTTTTGTTTTTTAATTAAAAAGTCCCATATCGATCTCTTATTTTGGTAAATTCTTTTAAATTTCAGACCCACCTTATCCATATTATTACAAAAATTGAAGAAGTGAAGGTCGAGACTGGAACGACATGGCGAGATATCGATAAAACTTTGCTCAACTTAATTGCTGGGCCCTTGCACGGAACACAACATTTCAGACTAGACTTTAGAACCGTAGTTAAGAACTGTAACGTTTAAGCAATAGTAAGGCAAACAAATAAAGGATTGAAGTGGAGCGGAGTTCGGTGCTTGTGTTTTCCTTTCCGGGGCCGTAGCTAGCATGAGGCAAGACGAGGCAATTGCCTCGTCTTAATTTTGGCCTTTTTTTAATTTTTTCTTAAAGAATTACTTTTCTGAAGAAAAATGCCACGGAAAATCCTTAAAAGAGCATTTCTAAACCTCTAGATTTCAAAGTTTTCTGGGGGGCATGCCCTCAGACCCCTCTAGCTGCTCGCGCCTTCGGCGCTCGAAACTTTCCTCGTCTTTTCCTGAAATCTGGCTACAGCCCTGCTTTCACGCTGGTTTGGGAGGGTCTTCACGTCCTTCGTATCTAGAGGAACGGATTAAAAGTTTAATGGAGGTGAAGGTCCTCAAAATATTGTGGGAGTGCGAATTTTTCGTTGGGAGTTATCGG